GCATATGTGCAATAGCTATTGCACATATGCAACTGCTCTAAATTTCTTCGTAAAAGACGCTTTATGAAATTAAACAAGTTATTATTTGCAGTTAAGGTCATGCCATTTACAACCGCATACAAAGTATTGAGATTAGCTAACTTTTCTATAAATATGCATGAATAAATATAAATAGTTTACATGTATAAAAGTATGAATTACATTTACAAAATCTTATAAATAGGTATTTAAAATGCATTAACACTAATACAAGTTTGTAACACTAATCTAGTCTCCCTGTGACCCAATTATTATATAACTAATTAGAAAAAAATACATATAATGTTTTCGCTATAAATCGGGTACATCATTTAACTTGTAAAATTTCATTACATCCGCGGGAAATATAAATCAAATGTGTATCATATTGAACAATGTATTTTAAGTCTCAAATAACTGGACCACCTTGAACCGCAAAAGTATTCGACTATAAAGTAAAATTTTGACTAAAAAAAGTACTTCAAACACGCCATCATTTAAAGTAATTTTATTTGACGTAACTTACGTGAAAAATAGTGTTGCTCATTTGAAAGACAAAACTTAATTATATTAAATTATGCAACAAAAAGAGAGATTTTAAAATTAACAACTATTTTATGCATGTTAGTAACACAAAAACATTATCAAATTAAAAAAAAAAAAATAATAAAAAAAGAGCATTTTATTCTAGAGCTTGCGTAGTTTTACTTCGAACAAATTAAAACTTATAAAACGCATGCCCATGTGATTATTTTTCCCGTTCCCGTAAAAAAACGGATGAGTGGAAATTCACCTTTACAAGCGTACGGCATGATAATTATACAAAAGTATATACATTTTATAAAAGCTGAATGTTTAAGCTATGAAAATTTCATAGCTTAAACATTCAGCTTTTATAAAAATGTCATTATAATTATATATTATAATGAAATTGTATATTATTATGTAATTTTCGAGAATTTTTTTTACTTTTGTCTACTACCTGTATCCGGTCTATTTTTATTTACTTTAGTCCGACTTGTCCGGTATATATTCGAATAAACGAGTTGACGGGGTTATTTAAAATAGACAAACGAGACAAAAATCAATTACTGTAATAAAGTTTTGTTATTTTGCTCGGTGGCTTGTGTAGATAAAAACCTCTTAATACTAATAGTACAAAACATTTAATTGATTATGTTCATTTTGTATATATTAAATAAGTAATAAAAAATGGAATTAGAAAACTTTTTTGTATATGAGTCAAAGATGATTTAAATGAGCATAAGATGATCTAAATAACTTAAAAGTAAAGATCAAGAGTATCGACAATGTTTGAATAACTTTTTAAGTTGAAAAACATTTTCAAAATGTTTTATAGTTTGCAAACAAAAAGCAATGAACTTTTCCGTAAACAGACGTACCATTTGTAAGGAAGAAAACCAGCAATAAACAAATAACTTCATTACAAAGATAAACTTATATTGTGCAAACAAGCAATCGAGCTTGTTTTGGTTACAACACGAAGATATGTTTTTCCTCATAAGAGATAATTATTTGACAATGCTTAAAAAAAATCAATACATAAAATGTAATTAAAATCTAGCATAACTTTTCAAAAGTCATGGATTAAACGAGCTGATTTTTAAAATACAATCAATCAATCCAATAAGATTTAAATATTTTAAAACTTGGTTCAAATATAGCAAAATTAAAAATACAGAAGTTTTTTTTTCAATTTAATAAATGTGTTTAGAAAAATAACTTTACTGAGGCTTTATGTATCTCTTGGAAGATTTCCGTAAAATCCTAATGGTTAGAGTATCGATCTTAACATTTTATAATGGTGATAAAAATATTTAGAAAATTCAGTTTAAATGGCATATATATATATATATATATATATATATATATATATATATATATATATATATATATATATATATATATTATTTATATTATATAAATATATATATATTATTTATATTATATATATATATATATATATATATATATATATATATATATATATATATATATATATATATATATATATATATATATAATTTATGCATGTAATGTATATAGTATTTTATAAGTTTAAAAAAAAATATATATATATATAAACAATGGTTTGATTTTTTAAATTTTTTCATTTTAATACTATAATATCATTTATTGATTGATATTATTTGTAAAGATTTTTGATTATGAAAAATAGTTGTCAGAAAAAAACCTATGAAAATTCTTTTATATAAACTGCATAAAAATTCTCATTTCAAAAAACTCATGAAAACATGAAAATGGAAAAAAATTTCAAAGCACAGATTTTAAAGGTAAAAAAAACTACATGAACAACATTTTTTAACATGAAGGAACAATTACAGTAAAAGGATAGAACACTAAAAGGATAGAACTGTTAGAGTAAAGGATGTAACTATAGCAGTGACCATAGCAGTGTTAATATATACAGACGATAATTAGTTGCAACAAAAGGCATTAACTTTTATACAACACTAATGTTTAAATAACAGAACTAGACATACAGTGTTTATTATGGTATTTATTACTTTTAATACCATATATAGAACTTTTTAAGTCTCTTAAAAGATTTTTTTTTTAAAAGTGATTATTTGTTACACAATTGTTTTCGAAAAATTCACTTCTGGAATTAGTCTTTTTAATCTTGAAACAGAAATGTTAGCATGTTTTGCTATGGAAAGATATAGTAACATGTATGCAATGATGTTACAACTATTTGGCAACAATTATGCAAAATAAATTTTTTAGAAAACAATAATATGATATTGGCAATAATTAAAGAAAAAGAAATAGAACCTTATGACAATCAGACCAACAAGATTAACATCTTAGATTTTTCCTAAAAAAAAGCGGGATATATATTAATAGTTTTTTAAAAGTTAAAAAAAAAATCATTTTTAACAAAAAGTATTTTGTGTGTTTATTTTTATAGGCCATAGGATTGAATGAACAAATGGAAAAAAAAAAAAAAACGAATTAAAAAATATAATTCTTCAACTAATAAAGTTAATAATTGCATTATGTTATATGTTTAATAACAAAATCAAGGATTTAAAAGGCATGAATTTGTATAAACTTAATTTTTACCTATTAATGCAAGTTACCAATACCATCTCTTACAAAGTTTGCCAACATTAAAAATCCTTTGAAGAAGATTTTATCAACATATAGCTGTTTCAGGTCGGGCCTTGGGTCGACATTAATGGAGTATTTTTAAGGTTTATGAGTTGGTGAATTACCTCTCTCTCGCACACAAACATATATATATATATATATATATATATATATATATATATATATATATATATATATATATATATATATATATATATATATATATATATATATATATATTTATATATATATATATATATATATATATATATATATATATATATATATATATATATATATATATATATATATATATATATATATATATATGCACAAGGCAATATTAGTCATATCATTTAGCTACTTGATATTCTTTACAAGTTATACTTGTACTACTGAATAATAATCTAATCAAAAATACCTTTTTTATCTTTATGGTGCTTGGAAAAGTATTTCCTGAATGCAAATACTTTTCCACAGTCATTAAACTTTAATGATAAAAAATGTTAAAATAGCCTACAAATCATGTAAAAAAAGCATTAAAATAGTGCTAAGACATCCTTTTGTAACTAAAGTAAAAAAACTTGTGACAGCATAATTTTTTTTTAAATTGTATCTATTTTAAAAGCCTAAAGACACGGGCAGAAAATAGTAAAACCTGTAGATGATTCTACAATTAATATTTAGACAATTCTAATTAATATTTTTCACACCACTATGTGTATATTTAGATATACACATATATTTACTACATATATTTTGCGTAACACTGTATATGACTATGTATGTATGTATTTATGTATGTATGCATGTATGTATGTATGTATGTATGTATGTATGTATGTATGTATGTATGTATGTATGTATGTATGTATGTATGTATGTATGTATGTATGTATGTATGTATGTATGTATGTATGTATTTATGTATGTATGTATGTATGTATGTATGTATGTATGTATGTATGTATGTATGTATGTATGTATGTATGTATGTATGTATGTATGTATGTATGTATGTAAATAAACATACATACAAAACACATATACATACATAGTCTAACAATAAAATATAAAATTTTATTTTATTCATATTTTAAAATAATTTTCATTTCATTTCAGTTTAAAATAGCCTATTAAACTAAACATATTATTTGATTTTTAAATTTAATTTCTCAAAGTATGAGCTAAAAATCCTTTATTCTTTTATATACTTATTATTTAATGATATTTATAAGATACTTTTATATACTTATTATTTAATGATATTTATAAGATCTTTAATGATATTTATAAGATACTTAAGTTTTGGATTGCTCTAAAATCTACAATGCAACATGAATTCTGAATACTACTTGAGCTATGTAAAATTTTTTATAGGCTTTTATTTTTACAGTGTATGTACATTTTAATAATATAGCTACACAGTTGTAGGTAGATTATAAAAATTTATTTAAAAATTTTTTTTTGCTTAAAAAAAATTAATCATTCTTTTTGATGTTATAATATACAACCATCTTTTGAAAAATTTATTATTTAACCTATCTATACTGCTCAATTTTAGCTTTATTCCGAAATATTAGTTTAATTCCAAAACATTAGCTTTATTCCAAAATTTTGTTTAGGATTAATTCTAAATTTTATACTTATATTCAAGCATCTGTCTAGAACTTGATTTGTCAAAATCAAATCGTTAAAAATAACAAATTAAAAGAATTGTTTAACCAATATGTTAACATGTGGTGGATTATTTGTAATGGTTTTGGAGAAGAACCTAATCATTATTTCTGAAAATGTAAAAGAATAGACCGTAATACTTCTTAACTAATAGTAAACCAACACCTTGGATGTGTCGTGTAAATAAAAATATACGTTAAGAAGAGCCATTTACTAACTAATATTTTATATTGTTGGATTTTCGCTGATGTTGGAGCGACCACGGACTATATATTTTCTATAACATCCAATCAGCTTAAACCATAATACGGTCACGTGCCCATATATAGCCTGTCATCTGGCATAACATAAGAAAAAATTTATTGTGTGAGGATGGCGTGCCAATAGTTTCAAGTTCATTTATTAATTTTCTTTAAAAATGTATCCGAATTCTAATGATATGGAGTTTATTCAACCTCCAGAAGCCCCTATTTTTGAACCAGACGAAGAGGAGTGGAAAGATCCATTGGGTTTTATAGCAAAAATATATCCTTACGTTGTTAAAGTTGGGATTTGTAAAATAAGACCTCCGCCGGTCAGATTTCATTCATTATGTTATTTTCATTTTGATTTATTTTAATTAAAATAAATTTTTCTATATTTTTCTTCTTTATATAGGATTGGCAACCTACATTTTCTGTTGATGTTGAAAAATTTCGTTTTACGCCTAGAATTCAAAGACTTCATGAGCTGGAGGTAAAAAAAGAGTCTCGGTATTGCATGTGGCCACTAAATAAAGCGACAAGTGTATAGAAATACAGAAAATATATGGGTTATAATGATTATATATGATTACTAAATAACTATATATGATTATTAAATAAGTTGATTTCTTATTTTTTTTAAAAAAAACTGAAAAAAAAGTGAAAATAGAGATGCATTATGGGTAATTAAAATTTTGCAATACTCAAGCATCTTTGAAAAATATCCATCTCAAAATTTGTTACATTTATATATATTTTCCTAAAATTAGCTTGGAAATGAATTGATAAATCATAAATTTTCCAAATATTTTTTTTCTTATAAAAAAAAACTTTACTTAATTCAAACTCATAAAATTTTTAATTAGGGGGTATGTTAATAGGAGTTAATAAAATAGCTGAAAAATTTCAATTTATCTTTAGTCTTTTTAATGTTCCCATAATTTGCAATGGAAAAATTATTAAAGCCAAACAAGTTATTGAAAATTTAAAACAAATTTTAGTTTAAAAAAGTTTTTAATATTGAAAAAATAAAAATATTAAAGTTTTACAAGATGTTTAGTAGATTAGTTATTTTTATTAATAAAAAACTTCAAATGCTGTAAAAAAAAAAAAAAAAAAAAATCTGCATTTCTTACTGCAAAGACTGACTCCAATATTGCAATTATTAAATTATTTAAATATTTATAAGTCCGATTATATATTACATAAAAAGACAAATAAAAAGAAATAATCAGAATAATATTTATTCTGAGGTCAAAACTCAGGATTTATTTTAAGTCAAAAACAATACTATTAATATATTAGTGTTTTTGTTTATAATTTTTTTTTCAAATTTTTTAAAAAAAAAAAAAAGTTGATAAGTAGGTTATTTAGCAACACTAGTTTGTCCTAATATCAAAATTACATCTAAAATATAAATACATATTAATAAAATTAATAATGATATTTAAGGAGTTTATATAAGGAAGACCTATAGGGTTCAGAACTAAGTGAATTAATATAACAACAAGAATAATTATTCTACTTAATGTAAACATAATGGTTGCATGCTAATGTGCATGTAATCCTTATGCCTATACTAAGACAAATGTAGAAGTATAAACACCTAAGTTAAAACAACAAAAAATGAGAAACTTAAGAAAAATAAAAAATAATACTTAAAAAGTTAAAAAATAGTTTTAAAAAAAACTATCAACTAACAAATAATATTTAAAAGAAGTGTTTGTAAAATATTTAATAGGAAATAATTTAAAGTAAGGTAAATATACTAGTAATTGACCTCTGAAGAGAAAAAAATCTATATTGCTGTCATATCTTAAAGATTGTTTGCCAATTATAGTTCAAACAACTTACCATACTATGTTCTTGCATGCTATTACATACATATTTTTTTCAAGTAGTTGCTTTTTAAAGCATGATTTTATGTTGGTAATTGATCGTCATATAATTATTTTTTTTAATTTGACTTTCCTTTGCGTTAGTAGTTAACTATACGTTCAATGATAAATATATGTATATATATATATATATATATATATATATATATATATATATATATATATATATTGTTTTCTCATATTATTATCATAATATACTTTGAGAAAACAATATATATATATTGTTTTTTCATATTATATTAGCACAGCATGTCACTTATGTTACAGGTGTTGCAAGTTGCTTTATTTATTCTAAAACTTTAAGATTGGTTAAATTATTATTTCATCATTATTATTTCAAAGAGCAAATTATTATCAATGCAAAGTAATTAAATTCGAAGGTTTTTTATGAATAAGCAGTGTATTTTGTGGGGTTGCCTCGAACATTAAATGGATCCCTAATATTATCAAATAAAAAGTTTTTTAAAAGTATATTATATATATATATATATATATATATATATATATATATATATATATATATATATATATATATATATATATATATATATATATATATATATATATATATATATATATATATAAGCTTATTTTAAATTAATATTGTAGGCAAAAACTCGTGTTAAACTTAATTTTTTTGATACTATTGCAAAGTTCTGGGAACTGCAGGTAATTAACTCTTATTATTATTAATATTATTAATAATATTATTATTTTCAATTAAATCTATTTCATTATTACTCATATCTATTAAAGAACAATTAAGTTTATATTACTTTGTCATGTATTATTTCTTTTATTGATAGGGTTCATGTATAAAGTTACCAAACATTGAGAAGAAGCCTCTAGATTTGCATGAATTGCACAAGGTTTACTTAAAAAAAGTTTGAACTTTTCAAATTGAAAAAATAATGATATCGATTTTTCTTTTATTAAACTAATTTTTGAAAAATGTTTAGATAGTTCAAACAGAAGGAGGATATGAGGATGTAACTCGGTTACGTCGATGGAGTCGTATTGCTTTATTGATGGGTTATTCTAGTCCTCAAGCTAGTGCAATATTACGTCGTCATTATGAAAAGATACTTTATCCTTATGATGTTTTTATGTCTGGTGCCATGATTGGGGAGAGTGTAAGTTATGATTTAATTTTTTAGTGTCATTGAACAAGTATTATAAACAAATAGAAATTTAATACTGGTAGAACACTGTTAATATAATTCCTGGAAGTATGCTTAACTTGTTTTTCCGAGTGGCAGAAAGCTTATGTCAAGATTTATCTTTCAGAGTTGCCCCCCCCCCCCCTTGTTCATAGGAATGTCTATAAAATAAAAGAAGTAACATTAAAAATTTCAATGCTAAAATGATTTTTATATAATAGTTAAAAGACTTGTTTGCATACAATTATACCATTTTATCAGTATTGTCTTGAAAAACTATTTGTATTTTTTCTCAACCTAAAAAATAAATATTTGTATTAGCATTTGTATTTGGAAAATATTGATTACATGTAAATGTATTTAAATTGATAATCAACAATTAATGTATTTGTATTTGATTATATATATTTAACCCTAACCCTGTTTTATTTGCAAGTTTCCCAAACTCTGTGCAGGGCTCAGGAAATTTTCTGATAAAATCAGCATGGTTTTGTTAAAAAATATTCTAGGTGTTTAAAGAAATAAAGATAAAATTAAAACCTCTTTATAAACAGGTTTAACTTGAGTTTTTCAAGAAACTCTTTATCCATTCTTAATCTGGCTTAAAATAATTTTTTAGGTAAAGTGTATATCTGTAGCTAGAGCTATTTCTAAGTGATTTTTGCAAGTTAAGAGTTTATTTAAAATTTAGGTTGTATAATTTAAAAATTAGTGAAACAATGGAGCTGATGCTAGAAGTATATTATTATTACTTGGCTCAAAGAGTATAAAATTCTAAACATAGTCTTGTTAGTGTACTCAATGGTATGGACTATGTTTTTAAACTATGTTTTTGAAACTTTTTAAACTGCGTTTTTGAACTATGTTTTTGAATCTTTTAAACTAAATTAAACTATGTTTTTAAAACTTTTGTCAAAAAAATTAAGATTTTTAGTTAGAGGAACAACCAATTTTTGAACTGGAAGTCTTTAGGTGTAATGGCGGCAAGGACTCTGTTGTAAGTCATCAAATCTCATGAATTTTTTTCTTATAGCAGATCATAAATTGCCCAATTTTTTTAGAGTTCCTGGAAGCCAGAGACCAGAAGAAAATAGAGTATAAAACCGAGTATTTTTAAGACTTGGCATATCTGCTCGTAAGTTAGGTTGTTAACAGCAGCACCAACATAACCTGACTATTATAAAAAACTGTTAATCTATTTGATTCAGTTTAAAAAGTCTTTAGTTTTTTACAAAGATGCAGAACTCCAAAAAAACTCTTTATTTGAAAGTCACAAAATGACTATTTCTTCCTGGTTTTTTGGTATCCAGGAGCTACAAAAATGCAAAGAGACTTATGGTCTACTTTTGTAAAAAAATTAAAACTTTCAGGTAGAAAAATCTAATTTTGAGCTCAGTTCTTATATATAATGGCATCAAGGACGCCGAGCTAATAAGCAATAAGTTTATATATAATAATAAGTTTATATATATATATATTATATATATATATATATATATATATATATATATATATATATATATATATATATATATATATATATATATATATATATCTGTATATAAATATATGCATAAATATTTTGTTTTCTTTATATTTATTTTCCCAAGACCAAGGGGCGATTAAAGCTAAAAATCTGGGGTTTGCTCTCGATCACTGTAGTAGGGTGAATAATCTATAATTATCAGAAGAAACTAAATCATTAAGCTTGTCTCAGTGCATTCATTTATTCCTGCCAAGGCTTGCATATTCATCTGATACTTGTTTGTATAATATTTTATATTGCTAATAGGGTGCATTGAAAAACAGAATTTTTTAAAAATTATTTTTTAATAGCTCTAAATATATGCAATATAATAAAATATCACTGAATTAACAAAGTAACACTGAATTAACAATAAAAATTCTTCAAAAGTAGGTCAACCTGGTACTCAAAAGAAGTAAAATTTTATAAAAAGTTCAAAAATAATAATTGTTTTAAAATAAAGCATCAAAAAAAAAAAAAAAAATTATCGAAAAAAAAAAATTTATTGAAAAACTTGTAAAAATGTACTTTTTTTATTTTTAGTTTGAAAACTATAGCTTAATAATAATTTTTTCATGTAAAATGATAATTGTTACATAAAACAAATATTATTTTTAAACTTTTTATAAAATTTTGCCTCTTTTGAGTACCAGGTTGACCTACTTTAGTAGAACTTTTTTTTCAAAAATATTAGGGACCCTGTAAATTGACAATGAGGTACCTCTAAAAAATATATTTAGAGGTACCTCATTGACTTGAGGTACCTCTAAATATATTTTTGTTTTCCAAAATTTTTAAATCCAGTGATAATTTATTATATCGCATATATTTAGAGCTATTACAAGACATTTTTGGAAAATTTCTGTTTTTCAATGCACCCTATTTACTAATGGTTTTATATCATTATTTTTTATATTATTATTTATATAACATTCAAAGTAATTTTGTTTTTATCTAAGTATTTAAGTTTTTAAATTTCAAACTTTTTAAATTTTCAGTTCAATTATATTATTTAATAATTTTCCCAGAATATGACTGAAAACACAGAATTCAAAGATAGACAAGAGGAAAAAAAAAATAGCGATGTTTCATCCAATAATTCACGTCACACACGCCAATCAAAATATAAAAGTGACTCACTTGACAATATGCCTGAAGTAAGTAGTTAAGATTTTATTAGGTCTATTATCAACTGATTTTATCTTTGGTATTGTCATTTTAAAGAAAATTTTTTTAAATTAATATATGTTGAATTTTATTTTTGCGTTATAATTTTGTTTAAACACTAATAAAATATGTTTAATTGAGTTTTTAATTAATCACACTGATTTTCATTCAGTTAAACGTTTTAAAGAAAAGGATTGGGTTGGGGCAAGTATTTTTCATCATTCTTCATTTCTTTCTGTTTTCTGAAAAAACATTTTAAAGAAAGTTGCAATTTTGCATTAAAATTGTATATTAATCTAATAAAGGCTAAATTAAGTATCATATGTATTAGGGTGTCCCAAAAAATAACATTTTTAAAGCGATGAAGGAAATGAAGCGAAATCATATGAAAATATTAAAAATGATAACTTGTTATATAAAAATAAATATGTTAGATTTAACACCAAAGTGCATTTTTACCAATTTTTTGACAATATATATATATTTTTTAATAAGTTTTTTAAAATATAGTTATCATTTTTGAAATTTTCTTATGATTTCGCTTCATTTGAGACCCAATATGATACACTTTTGAAATTTTTTTTTATGTAATATTAGGAAATCGTTATATGTTCAAGAATCTTGAGGGACCCCTAGTGTTTTTTTTTTATCCCATAAAGGGATAAAAAAAACGCTAGCCGCAGCATATATTTTTCAAAAATGTTGTTTTTTGGGAACCCTAATATATATAAATTAATGGGTGTTTTTGTGAGTATGTATATATATATACACACTCACAATATATATATATATATATATATATATATATATATATATATATATATATATATATATATATATATATATATATATATATATATATATATATATATATATATATATATATATATATATATATATATATATATATATATATATATATATATATATATATATATATATATATATATATATATATATATATATATATATATATATATATATATATATATATATATATATATTTGTGATGTACCAATATCACTTTTTCGTCTGATGCCGATACCAATGCTGATGGTTGGGAAAAGGCCGATACCGATGAATTTACTTATTATTAACAATTTGAAAATATAAAACCATCCAACTTTAAATCGGTACTGGTAAACAAATACTTGGACCCAAATCAAAGCCAAACAATTATTTTACAAGATATTAGAAAAACTCAGTTCAAAAAATATACATTTTAATTTTTTTTTCTACTATGAAAAAAAAACTTTCAAAAAAATAAATACAATTTTAGAGGAACGTTTTTTATTTTAATTTTAAAAAAAGAAAATAATCATATGCAGTTTACTTAGAATTCGTTATTAATTTATTAGTAATTTAGATATCTAAATAACAATCATATGTTGTTTAGACATAAATTATTTTTTAGATAAATAAATTGTTTTTAGAATTATTTTGTTTTGTGATGTTTGATCCCCACTAGGTCCCTGGTAGTAGTCCCTGGTAGTAGTCCCTGGTAGTAGTCCCTGGTAGTAGTCCCTGGTAGTAGTCCCTGGTAGTAGTCCCTGGTAGTACAGTGTTTAACTTGTTTCTACACACAGCGGCATTGTTCATCAAGGTTTGTGTTTCTGAGTTATAAAGTTGGCTATACTTAAATACATGAAATATGGCTGAACTATTTGCAAAGAAATTCTCTTCTAATCTGACTCTCGAACCTTATGGCCATTCTCTTCCTTCCATTCTAATTAAACAGGTTAACCATTGTTCATTGCTTATAGTCATATCTCGATTAAGCTTTTCTATGGCTTGTGTTCTCTAGAACTCTCTTCAATTTTCTCTTAACTATTTAATAAGTGCTTGACTGAATCTTGTTTTCCTGCGTGCTGGAAAATGGCATCTGTTGTTTTAATTTTTAAAAACTCTGGTAAACATACTGACCCTTCCGATTATTGTCCAATCAGTCTTCTTTCTATTATTTGCAAGGTCTTTGAGTCTTTGATAAGGTCTTTGAGTCTTTGATAAACAAATTTCTCATGTTCCATCTTGAGTCAAATAACTTGCTTTCAAACAAATAACTATTGCAGTACTGTTGACATTCCTATATTGATGAATGGCAACCCTCTCACTGATTCCCAGGGGTGTGGAGTCGTAAAAAAAAGTAATTACTTCGACTCCGACTCCAGTTGTTGAAATTTTTTGTGTACAACTCTGACTCAAAATTTTTGAAAAATTCATTGAATTTATAAAAAAATATTATGCGATAGGTGGAAAATTTCTTTTTTGACAAATTTATGAAACATTCTTTGAGGTTTAGTATGAACATAAGGTTAATTGAATGTTTTCTACATGCATGTGCAATACCGAGAAGTCTTACTATTGGAGTCGGAGTCGCAATTTTGTTCAGCAACTCCGACTCCACAGCCCTGCTGATTCCACTTCTTTACGTCTTCTTGGATTATCATTTACTACTGATTTTTCATGGAAACCATATATACAATTGATTGCTAAATTAACATCTGCTAAGGTTGCTTCATTTTAATGTGCTCACCATTTTCTCTCTCCTGATTCCATTCCCTACCTCAATAAATCTCTTATTCATCCCTGTATACTGAATGTTATACTGAATACTATCATATTTGGGCTGGTTCTTCTAATGATGCTCTTTCTCTTCAAGATAAGGTCCAAAAACGCATTGTAAACAGAGTTGGGCCCGGTCTATCTGCTAAGCTTGAGCCTCTTTCCCATTGTCGTAAAGTTGCATCTTTTTCTCTTTTCTACAAATACTATCATGTTTGCTGCTCAAAGGAGCTTTCATCTCTAGTTTCATCAATCAAAACTCATTCTCGCTTGACTTGTCATTCATCAAAGTCTTATTCTTGAATGTATCTGTCTTCTTCATCAAAGTCTTATTCTTGACTGTATCGCACTTCAACCCTTCGAAACTGTCTCATCTTCATGTTTTCCTGACTCATACAAACTTCAACTTTTCAAGTTCTGTCAACCGTTTCATTGCTCTATAACTCTTTTTTTTTTCTAGCAACTCCCAACCTGATAGTGGTTGCTTGAAGCCTTATTGGGAGTAAAAAAGTTTTTGCCTGTAAACAAAGTCAAAATAAAAATTTATCCAAAAATTTTTAAGTAATGCACAAAGTTTAGTTTTTTTATTATTTAATTATTATAATAATACAGGATAAAAATACTAAAATGTCATTGGTTAAAAAATCGATAAAAAAGGCTGATGCTGATTCCGATTGTGCAAAAAGTGGCTCATTAAGCCGATGCCGATATATATATATATATATATATATATATATATATATATATATATATATATATATATATATATATCAGTTTCATAGGAAGACGTGCGATTTCATGTCATTAGATGAACAGGCAAATCACATTTCGCTTTGACAATTTGACCATGGCTATTTCAAAAAAATTTTCAAAAACTCGCTGAATAAAAATATTCTGAATTATATCTTAGATGAAATAAATTACATTGAAACTTCTTAAACTTTTTTATATTAGCGAAACGCTTTTAAAGTAAAGTAACAATTTACTGGTAATGATTTTTTTTATAGTATTATAATTTATATTTTATAGTATTTTTTAAAAGTATTATTGGCAGTTGTATATAATTTTTTAAATTTATATTATATAAATTATTTAAGTATGCATTTTTTTTAATAAATGTTATTAAAAAATAGAAAATTATTTTGTTTTTTTTTTAATGATGACTTTCTAAGACAACTAAAGTCTCTTAAATGAAGTCTCTTAAATGTAATATAAAAATAATTGAAATTGATACATTTAAAAAGATAGAAAAAATTTGTTGAAAATAAAAAACAAATGTTTTTGCAAGCCTTAACAATTAAATAAGTTTGATCTTTAATGCTTTTATATTAATGAAACGCTTTTTAATAAAATAACTAAAAACTTCTAATGAATTTTTATATTAAGTATTAATAAACTGTCTTTTATTATTTTTTATTTGTATAAATATGTATTTTTTATGATAAATGTTAATATTTTGAAACAAATTTGACTAAAAAAACAAAGTACAAATGTTAAAACCAAGAATGAAATGTTTTTTTAATGCATAATTATTTACTAGTTAACATTTACATAGAAACTGATATTTTTAAATTTGTAAAAAAGAACACTACAATTTAAATTAAGCATATTTATTA